GTCAAATAAAGGTCATAGGAGGGACACATGCTCGGACATATTGTACATGGTATTGCCATAATTAAGACTTATTTTGGACATTTGGGACATGGCATGTACATACGAAGACATAAAATTCATGTCATTTCCATGTCTTTCGGCTGGTCAGGGAGAGAGAGACAACAAGCGTAACTGAGTCGGTAGATCATCTAAATGGACACTTTGCTTGGTTGTCTGCCTGTCAACAAAATGGTTCAGTTAGTTTTCAAAATCTTCAGGTGCTAATTCAAGAGATATGCACAGAAACTTACGTCATACAGAAAAGGAGGCTGAAGGGGTTCCAAGCTGTGCACATTGTTGACAGGTAGACATCAATTTCAGCAAAGTGCAGGAACTTCTCTCTCAAACAGTAAGGAAAAGATATGTGATACAACTTCGAGTCCTGAAAAGGTAAAGAGAAAGTAAAACTTAAAATCGTAACTCTCAGAATGCATATTGAAGCTCAAAATAAAGCATAGAGCAATACGTGCCAGCAGTGTGGGTGTTTCGTTGCAATCCATTTCCCTCATCGAGTAAGTGGCCTCCTCATCAAGAAAAGAAGTGCAACCTCTGGGGCAGAACCATTTTCAAATTTCAATCATACCATGGTAAATGAGCCTAAGGGATCGACATTAGAATTAGTTTGTACCCTAATAAAAATCAAATCAAAAGTCTGAACATAAATGTAATAATACTTACAATTGTTCATGGTAATTAGATACAAATAATCATCAATGAAAGACCAATGCCATGACGAGTCTTTGAAATTCAACTCAAACCTACAATAGAAAAGAAAACAGTAATCAGTTTTAAAGACACTGGTAAAGTTTGGAATATTGGAGCACTTGCTATGCAAATGTACTTACCAGAGCGATAATTAATATACAGGTGATTAGCGGAGCAGATGTCACAAGATTGGAATACTTCTAGATAAGCAAACGACGAAGAATATTTGGTGGAATGTATAGAAGAGAGTTGCAAACCTGGAAATGAAATCGAAATGTTAATTGAACCATGAAGGTTAAATAGTGCTAGTACCTTGCTGAAACAATACCTACCACGTGGGAATATCACAGAGAATCCCTGGCTCTACATATGCTAATTGGTCCATTAAAATAACTTTAGAGAAAATCTGGACTGTGTTGCCATGGTGGTGAAAATTAATCGTAGCTGCACCTGGAATAAATAAAAACAAAATAGTTATGGGAACGGTAGTCACAATTAGAAATATTTCTTCACTGCAAATACGTACCTCTGAAGTTTATCTAAGTCATTAATACTAGCAGCACCTCAGTACAATATGCAACAGCATCTTTGGGTGATAAGTATGAGAATGAAAAGGCTTTAAAACCAAAACCCCAGAAAGAATTAAAGAAAGATGGAGAAAAAGCCAGTGAACCCAAGGAAACCCAAAGTAGGTATATAGTGCCATTTAAATTATATGAGATAGAGATTAAGACACAGGACATCAGATCAAATTTGAAAGAAATTATTTCAACACTTCATCAAAACAAATAAGACTGGGAAAATATTGCATGGAGAACACAGCACAGAGTCAAGAAAATTTCAAACCAAACAGTAAAGCATCACCATCAAAACAGTCATTCAAAATAAACAAACACAGAACACTTCAAAGACAAAAACAGAACAGAAATCAGTACGGTAACACATATTTACGAGCACTCAATAAATGGCAAGGGCACAGCACAGGGTTAATCGACAAAAATCAAATGTTCATCAACAACAAATAAGCAATTCAAGTCAGTGGCAAGATCAGAGATAGTACCAAATCAAACACAAAACACTTTCAGGGGTAGGGCAGATAAATTCAGAGCACTTTCATGACAAGTTCATCAACAACGAATAAGCAATTCAAGATTCAAGTCAGTGGCAAGAGCAGAGATAGTACAAGATCAGACACAAAACACTCAGAGGCAGGGCAGATAGTTTCAGAGCACTTTCATGACAAGTTCATCAACAACAAATAAGGCAAACCACACACGACAGAACAAGCACTCATCGCCAAAAAGAAAACAAAATGCATTTTCAGAGAATCAAAAACAATTCAGACACTTCAAACAGTAAACACATAAAGACCATTGTTGACAAGTTGCAGACACATGGCACAGAAGAAGAAAGAAAAAGATAGAGAGACCAAAGAATGATATTAAAAGTGCCCCATAAATACTGATTAAATTAATTTCCCCGCCTTTTCAAACTCATTCTCAAACCTCAGATTGCCATAGGCATAGGTCGCATTGACCATGACGTTAAGTCCTACTTCATGAAAAGCAAGACCACTTTTATCTGACCAGGTCAGCAAACATGTCCAGGTTACGTAATTCATTAATCAAGTGGGACGTCACTGCCTGTCAACAAGAATAAGATTATTAGCCTTCACAATAAAAAAGATAATAATAAAATCCACATATGGCAACTAACCTTTTCACTTTCAACCCTCCAATAAATTCTCAGCCGATTCGCAAACACCATTCAACAGCAAATTAAGAGCAAACAGCTATTGGTTTACGGAACTTGTGAATAAAGCTGGACATTACTTCCTGTCAATAGAAAAACATTGTAAGTATACGAAATATAAAGTAATCCAAATGTGATTAATAAAAAACCTATGGGTACTGACCTTTTAACCCGTTAAGAAATTGTCAGCCAATTCGCAAACACCATTCAACAGCAAGTTGGTTTGGAAATAATTCGCATGGCAGCTAAAACCTGTTGAGAGAGGACGTAATAGTAAACAATCTAAACAGAAATCGGAAATTGTACAGAAACAGCTTCCAGCCAAGGAAACATTGTAGATTTAAACGTATGAAGTACACATAACCAACGAGGTACGACATAACCTCTGCTGGGCCGGAAAATAGCGGTCATTTGAAATCTTATCATTCATTTTTCCATCGGAGATAGGAAACAATTCAACTGCAGAAGGTTTTGCCTATAAAGGTTTCAAGGATATACGATACTTTTCTGGAAAATATGGGATATTTACGAACCTGTTGCCGTTTGATCGCAGAGGCGAGTAACAACTTCGGACTCAACTCAAGAAGAGACGACCACTAGCGATTTGAATTGAACTGTGACTTGGAACCATAGATCGTCATATTTCGTCTTTTAAGATTAATATAAAGTTAAGTTAATGACAGAGACACTCAGAAAATATCCGTTGCCTCCATGCATGACTCGACAAACCGGAAACTGACAATTCAATTCACTGCCTTGGAGTGTTCTTCTTTGTCTTCTGCCTTCTTCCGCTTGAGGGAGGAGGGGATGAGGGAGGAGCGAGAAGGAGCGCAAAATGCTACCAACTGCTAACCTTGATATTTCGATGAACTTTGTAAAGAGACTGCACAAAGCGCGGTAGGTGGCAAAAATATCAAAACTGGATTATTAAAAAATTAAAATTTGATAAAAGTTCGTTTTCACTTCTTCTATGTTCTTTTAGTTGTTTCTTTGATTGAAGTATGCTGGGGTTGGTTTCACAGGAGCAGAAGCAGAATGTGAGCAAAACAACAAACATGGCACGTCTGATGTGCGATGCGATCGCAGATATTTATGTTCTAATTTCCTAAAGAGTGACTATCAGATGCTCTAAAATATTTTTCACGTACGCTTTGTTACTGCGATTGTCTATTATGGCGCTTCTCGTGGTAAGCCTCCTATATTGCGCTCTGCCAATGAATCCGGGTCGACAGCTCTTATTTCCCTATGCATATATTTTAGTCAGTTTCTATTTATTTTTACAGAGGGCAATGCCAGTGTCACCAAAAATGAGTATCCGTGGAAGTTTTCACCCTTCATTATCCCTCTCGACGGATGAACCATCAAGTGGCAGTATTGTTTACACCAGTTTGTCTGACCAGAACGAGGGTTATGATGCCCATTACTAACCTTCCTCAATAAGGTAGCCATCATGGGAAAGGGTAAATTGCATTCTGTCAAGACTGTCTCCAATAATTTCCACCTCCCAGTTTCACTCTGGGAGTTATACTCAGTTATTGTATTTCGTCAAAGATGCATCGGACAAACCTCCTCCCTTTCTCCCCCGTTTAATCCACAATACTGTTGTGTATCGTTGTGCTTTAGACCTTGTACTTCTTAATAAAATGAACAGCCTACCTGTGGAGGTTAACTTTCTGATGGTTGGTTGCCTTTCTCCACTGAGGAATAACATATCTTTTGCGTTGCAGGCACAAGTTCTTTAGTGCTCCTTGCCGTCAATGTCTTCTGGGCGACAATCAATCATCCTAAAGAACCCGTTTCTCTCTGCAGCAGCATTTTTAATGGTTGATTCTCTGCCATTCAATAGAAGTATGTATTCAAGTAGCTCACCTGTCTCACTTCCACCCCTGTAGCAGTTATTCTAATTACTGGCCCATTCTATCAGTAGAAAATACCCTGAACTTCAAGAATATTCCTCATATATCCCTGGGATCAAATTACTCATATCCCAGGAGCACATATCCATTTTGAAGCACTTGATTCCATATAATTTTAAAGAAGCACATGAAACTGTCATTGTTGTCATCTAATTGCAGTTTGTGTTGTTTAATTAATTCTTACTCTGAAAAAGATTTCATTTTGCACAAAGTGATTGTAGCAGTGTGCTCTCTCAAACTATCCAGAACTGTAGAGGATGATTTATTGAGTTTGTGAATGTATAATGATTGTCGTTACTAATATGTTGTTCTTTATTCAGCTTGGACGATGGCCAATTTGGAGAACAGCTCTGCTTGTAGTGTGTTGCGCCTCAAGAATACTCTGCTGGGAACATTCACTTCGACGCTGCAAATGGCTGCATCTCAAC